TGAAAGAACTCGCAGGAAGGGGGTTCGTAACAGACACCCGTGTTCCCCCTTCGAGACAGCTGGCTGCGCCGGACCCGCAGGCGGCGCTGTGGCTGATGGAAACTGCTGGAAGGGGGTGCTGGCTCGCCTGCACGGGGTGCGTGTCTGTGAGCCATGGCCACGAGGTGCACATGGTGAGGGGTCCCCCGGCACCTTCCCTGGTCCCCTCGCACAGGTGTGGGCCGTGCTCCTCCTGTCTGGACACGTTTCTGCGCTAAGATGCTGACAGAACACCGGAGGCTCATCCGCCTATAGAGAGAGCACGCACGACTAGAAACGGACACGGGGAGGACCGGGGCTCGGACGCTCGTGCTCAGCACAGCAGTGAAGGGGCCGGCCGAGGCCGTCTTCGCAGAGTCCCTCAAGCCCGCCGCTGCTCACATCCCTGTACGCGCGGAGCTCCCCGTGTGCCCTCTCAGAACCGCTGGGGCGGTGGGCACGGAGCGGCGGAGGCAGCGACGAGAAACGCCGCGCCGGTGCCCGAGTCCTGCCCAGGCCACGTGCGAATGGCCACCCGCCAGCATCGGGACGTCTAATTCCAGGGGCGCCTTGCCCCACCCGGGACGCCCGCCACCAGGTGCTTGGGCCACCCTCCACCTCTCCTTCCCTCACCCCACATCCAGCCCCCTGCCCGAGTCCGTTAAATCTGCAAACCGCGTCCAGACCCTGAGCGTCTGGGCCCCCGTCGTCGCCCTTTCCACGCCAGCGTCACCTCAGACCAGCAACGGCCTCCCGCTTCCGTTACTTCCCTCCCCTCGTGCCCGCCACCACAGTCGGCAGGCCGGGCAGACGGACCCTGGTAGGCGTTTCAGGTCATGTCATGCCAGTGGCTCCTTGGCCCACTAGAAGCAGACACTGAAGTCCCACCCCACGTGGGTTCCCCCCGGAACCAGATCCAGATTCAGATCTGAGGGCCGGTCATCTGGGGGAGCACGCGGAGCTGCGGGGAGAGGGCTGGGCTCGTAGAAGTGACCCGGCTGCACACAGCACGCGTGGGTCACCCCCGACGAAGCGCTTATCCATCCGCTATCGTGACTGTGCTCGCGCATCACCCTCACGTTACAGAAGCAGCAGCTGTGGCTCCCGGACCCGTGGCGGGAACGGAAGGTCAGCAATAATCGACCTGCTGAAATTTCAGCTCGCAGGGCACCCCGTCTGAGCTTCACAGGACCCACAAAGCCAGGGCCGTGCCCCATCTTCCTGGACTTTCCCACAGTCCCACAGCTTGCAGGTGACACGGCACACACGAGCTGGGAACCCCACCTCAGCCCCCACCCCTGGACGGGACTCCGCTCCTCTGTGACCCCGTGTCCGCCCCACGCTGAGGGGTCTATACAGCGGGACAGAGCACTAATTCCACGCGCTGGGCTCCACACGAGACCCCCGTGCCCGTGCAGACAGAGCCTGCCTGCTGATAAAATCAGGCGACTTTCCACACAAAGCGTGAAGACCAGTGACTAATTTGGCGACACTTGCTTAGCACTCCGTGTCACACGTTGCCTGTGGGGCAGGTAGAAAGGCACACGGACCGTGATCCCACCCAGGAGGGGCCCCGCCTGGTATTTCCCACAGGCTGTCAGAGCAGAGGAGAGGCTCGCCTGGTGGGCGTGGCCCGCGCCCTTCCAGAAGCAGCAGGTGGCGAGGCGGTGGGCTCCCGGTCCCGTCCGTACCCAACAGGAGGCAGGGAGCCCGGGCCAGCCCGGCAAACGGCCGAAAGCAGACCAGAACGACCGGGGACCCCAGGGGCACAGGGAGTGACTGATGCCGTCAACAGCCAAAGGAGGCCAAACGCCTCCTGGAGCGAACCGGGCGGCACCCGCTCGCCCCTCCACGAGGGAGAACCTGTTCCTCCCGCAAACGGTGGCGGTAATGCATCGGCTCCCTTTGTCCAGCAGTGCATATCGAGCAGCACGGTTTCTAGTACTTGGCCTGACCCCCGTCCCTAACCCCTCCCCGAGCACCGCTCGTGTATTTCTACACGGGTAACCCTGCAAATTAGGACAGACGAAACCCCTCCGTAGCACTGACTCATTCACACCCAGGGTGAAGCCGTGAGGAGAACTGGCCTTCACAACTTCTCATTACGGAGACGCGGCTCCGGGAGTCTTCTCCAGCTGGGCCGATTAGCACGGCTCCGCCACGCTGACAGCACCGCCCTCCACTCCGGCAAACGCTCGTCAAGATGCCAGAAGCAATCACCTGGCTGTTTAGGACGGAGCGATGGGGCCAGCGCCCTTCCCTTCCTCCCACCCGTCCGAACCTTCTGGAAGCCGCAGCCGTCGGGCACTTGCTCCCGGGGCCGCCAAACGGTGCTTCCTGCTGACGTGCACGGCCCTTACCGCACCCCACCGGCCCCGAGGGCCACCCACCCCACAGGCAGCCCAGCGTTTCCGGGTCCCAGGGAGACTCTGCCACGGACGGCCGACCGCCAACCACGCGGTCGGCGAGGGAATCGAACACGCCGCCGAGCAGAAGCCCGGCACCGGATGTCCACGGCCTGCCACGGGGACAGCCCGCAAGGTGACCCCCGGCAGGAGGTGACGGGAGCCCGGGGGTCATGAGGTGGGCGGTGCCGCAGAGCGGGAGGCAAAGGTCATTTACCCACGTCTTCTCCGACACCAGAAACCCAGAAACGCAAACATCGACTAGAAACACGCTACTTGAGAACAAGGGATGCGAAGGGCAACAGAGCATTTCTCTGCTTGATCAGATGACCCAGCCAGAGAGAACAGCGGTAACTAACTGCCACTCACCGCAGCGTGCTCAGCCGTCGAGTCAGCGAGCTCTGCGCCTGGATCCGCCGTGCGCCAGCTACACACCAGCACCAGCGGTTTCCACACGCTCCACAACGCGGAAGCACCTGCTCACGCGGGACCCGGGTCCTCTCCTCGCTCGCTCACACCGCGCGCTCCCATGTCCTGTCACCCACTCATTCGGGTTCATAAGTGGGGCAGAAGGTCCAGGAGAGGGTCCCCTCGTACCGGGAGCAGAATCTGGACTCAGAAAACCAGCTGCGCTCATCAGTCAGGACGCATAGCAAGGACGTTTGTCGTGGGAATTACGTGCCTGTTCCTTACGTTTCGTATCACTTTGTGCGAAATTAGCCAAGTAAGTTCCCTTTCAGTCCCACCACCGGGGGTGCTTCCCCCCTCATAAGATGCCTGCAGCGTCGTGCCACTGAGCCCCCGAGGGGAGCACACGCAAACAGTCACTGTGTCCGCAGGCAGCGATCTCCGCGGCAGGCTCTGGTGTGCAGGGTGCCAAGGGAGGCCAGCCCGCCTGACGCGGGTCCGCCCGACAGGGCCGATCAGTCGCTTGCAGCAAGGGCTCCCCATCACCTTCTAAAACAAGAGACTGCGAAAACTTCCTGTCCTTGTTAACACGCGAGGGAGTCTAGTGCTCAGAGAGCTCACTTCTCCTCGGGGATGGGACCTTGGTGCCAGTCGTGCCCTTGGTACATCCACTGCCAAACCAGAGTCCTGATGGTCACCAAGCTGTTTTTCTTAACCTTTTTCCCGTATAGCACCAGGTGCGTGCGTAACATGATAAAATTATGTACAACACAAGAGAACTAATTCTTTGAAAGCGCGCGTGGAACCTCTTGCACGTGCACGACAAGAAACCCTCCGCTTGCACAGCCCCGGCAGTCCCGTAAGTCCGGCAGGCACACCGGGATCCTTGAGCGGATTCAAGAATTCAGAAAGTCACTGCCATGGCTCTCAAACGTACACCCGGTGTGCGATTCCCGCCGGCATCCAGCATTTCAGTACGGGACACGAACACATTTAAAATGACCAGCAAACTAGATTTTAAATAAGCAACCCCAGTTTCCCCAGAAAGCAATAAAAGAAATGAAAGGCCACCGCCAGGGAGTAGATGCCAGGACTGTAAACGCTGAAAAGACCTCCTTCCATTTTATACCATTCATTACTGTGCCCTGAAGTCCCAGCAAATCCGACTGGGAAAGCATTGCTTCCCAGCACTGGGATGAGCGGCCACCCGTGGGACGACCGTTAATGCTTCTGCGTAAAAAAACCACAGTCGCTGACCGGGTCCTAACTCCGTCTGACCATCTCTGCCGCGGAGACGCGAGGATGGATGCCGGAGGGAAGGAGGGGCCTGCGGCCACGAGGGCCACAGCCACTGACACGGGATCCCCTCCCTTTCAGGGGGCAGGGCACTTGGAGCGAAAGCTGCCGGCTTCTTTCCCTGGGGCCGCATCAAGCCGCTCCGCTGGGAATGACACTTTACTGCCTGCCGAGACACCTCACAGGGGCCTCACAGCGACCCGGGACACGGAAGCGAAGCCCGGGGCGTTGGGCTCTCCACGCGGTCGAAATTGGCTGGGTCTCTGGAGCAGAGTACAACTTGGCAAGGGGCTCTCCCTTCACCAAAAATCACTGGCCACTGAAATCATTACTTCCGCAAAAAGGACTACTAAGGGCACCAGGACCTACGAGTAAAATCCGGCAGCCACCAAACCAGAGAAGACCGACCGCTGACCCCGCCAGACGGAGCCCTGCCGAGGCCCGTTCCACGGCAAACGGCCACCACACGCCGAGATGACTTGCTGGGTCTCAAGGCAGGTGAGCAGGAATCCCCAGGGCCCTAGAAGCAAAGCTAGAACAGAGCTCTCTGTTTCTCTTCGAACCCTTCATCCCGCACTGTCTTGGTCTGGGACAGACAGAAGCACGGCCGGCGTGCGCTTCTCACCTGGGACAACGCGGAAAACCTCAAAGCAAAATGGCACTTGCTCTGTCCACGCGGGGGCTGCCGCAGACACCAGGCCCTTGCTCCCCTGGGCGCCAGGCTCTTTGTCTCAGACCGAGCGGTGTGGTCCTCATCCTGCACCTGCAGCCCAGCCCGCCGCGCAGTGGTGATGAGACGCGGTGCCGACCGACCCTGTCGTCCCTGGGCCGGGCGAGCGTATGCCCACGCGCGTCGTGTCGAGACAGCCTTACCTGCGGCCTGCGCGACATCTCCCGTCGTCAGGTTCTGGACACTGGCGCTCAGTCTGAAGGTCACCGCTGGGCCCACAACACTGCAAGAGACCAGGAAGAAGGAGCTCAGAACCGCTCTGCACGGCGTGTCGCTTCTCCACCAGCTACGCGGGAAACACGGACACGCTGACGACACACACGCATCGAAGCCACTGCTGTTCCACGCGCGACCTCCGCCAGGCTCCGGGTTTCTCGACGCCGTGCCTCTTTGTCCCCATATTCCAGGAATTCTGTCGACAGGCTTTGCTTTTCTAACCCATACACGGCAGCGCTCTTATAAAAAATTCAAATCAACCACAACCAACCAACAAGAACAAGCAGATATTCTTGCGAGGGAAGAAGAAAAATTGTTATGGAAACAGATTTTAGTATTTGGCTCCCACAGGAGTGGTAGGAATCAAAAGCAGAAAGGAAAGAGACTGGTATTTTTAAATTTCTCTTGACAGGAACCGTTTAAAAAACTTATCAAAGTCATTAAGAACTATTTAGTATAAAAATAACTAGCAGGGAATTGCCAGACAGGAATGATTAAAATTTTCAAAGCTTTTTAAATACTGTGTTGAACATCAGTTTCAAAAACATATCTCATTTTAAATAATTTTATTCGTCTGAAGGGGAGAGGGAAGAAGAAGGGAGGACCTTAGGAAAGGGGAGGGGGAGAAGAGGAGGGAGGAGGGGGGAGGGGAGGGAGAGGGGAGGAGGGAGGAGGGGTTGGGTCCCTTTCACCAGAACCCGTGTCCTAGCTCCTCAGGCTCCTGGCCTCAGGTGTCCAGACCCCTCCCGGAAAACAGCATCCCCCCATCTCTTATCCGTCTGGTGAATGAGGGTGTGAGGTGCAGGGCCGGTCCCACAGAGAGGAAGGTGCCGTGCAGGCTGCAGGGAGGTGGGTGCTCCCCTCCCCGCCCCAGCACGGACGCCGCTGTGCCCGGCAGGGGCTCGCAGGGCCCCAGAGGCGTCAGGGTGCAGCTGGAGAGCTGTCCTTCCTGCTGATCACCAGAGGCTCCTGCCACCGTCCACAGATGGGCTCTCACGTTGCGGTGTCCTCCCTCGGTGCAGGGGCTGGACCACGGAACCTCCTCCGTGTGCGTGGATTCGACGACCAAAATAACACCTCGAAGAGCAAAACCACTCGTCTGCCATTGCTAGGTCTCTACTGTGTGTGCGGGACTTTGCACATCCAGTCCCGCCCCAGTGCCGGGGCGCCGGAAACTGCGGGTGCCAGGCCTTCAACAGCCCCTCCAGCTTGTAAGTCACATCTCTCCGGATGCTTCCTCAAGCTGCCAGTCCTACCTTCTCCACCACCTTTGTCAGTGTCGCGACAGTCATTTTTAAAGGTGCTGAAAACGGGGACACGAGGAGAACTACGAAGAGTCAGAATAAAAGAGTAACGAGGCCGTGCTCAACGAGAGCCACGTGAAGGTTATCAGGACACCCTCAAAACTGGCAGCGAACCGCCGTAAGAAAACCTGCCCCCGCTCGGCGTCTCATCTCTGGCCCCCCTGCCTTCCGTGCTCACCCGTCCAGAGGCGAGCGGCTGCTTCTGGGTCTCGCGTGGTCTCGACCAGGTCTGCTCTGAGCTCGTGCGTTCTTGTGGATTCAGACATGACCCCCGCTCGGGACACCGCGGTCCCACTTCTGTCCTGCTCCTCACAGGAGTGCCTGGCTCACCTCTCGCGGGCAGCCCGCTGTGTCCGGCCCATAATGCAGCACAGGAGCCTCGGCACCCCCTCAAGCCCAAGGAGACCCTCGAATCAGCCCCAGCTTTGTGAAGCAGCCGTGGCCCAGCCCGTGGACTTTCTCTTCGATTTCTTCGTGCAAGAAATGTCTACACGGTCACAAAACTCTGCTGAAACTCCCCGAAAACGCCACCACGTCCGTCCTTCTTGCTTGGTTCCCACCGCCAGTGGTTAGAGCCCTGACCCCAGTCATGGGCTGCGTCCTGGCCTGACGTGCCCCCAGGGGGCCGTCCTTAGGAGCACGCGTCGCCCACCCTCCAGACACGCTCTCTCCACACACACAGTCTAAGGCCCAGTCTAAGGCTCCCGGGCCTGTATCTGAAGCTGCCCGGCCAGATCCCAGCGACAGCTGTCTCCCCAGCACGGTGAGCTCGAGCCTCTTCCCCTGCTCAGAGTCCCTTCTGGCCTGAACCCCCCCCCCATCCACACTCTGACCCACGGCAGACCCCTCTCCCAGATCCGCCGGCAGGTGCAGAGCCTCCTGGCACTGAGCACGTTAGCTGTCTCGTAGGACATTTGCAGCTTCCCAAACGGCTGGCTCTCTGGGGGCACGTGAAGCATCCCTGCCAGGGCCTCACACACGTGGTGGATGTGACAGAGTCACAGCTGTGACCGAGTCATGACCGAGTGCAGCTGTCTTCTCCATTGAGAGGTCCTATCCACATGAATAGGCCCCACCTGCCATCAAAAGGGCACTAATAATAGGTCTTCCCACCGGGACCTGAGGGTTCTGTGTCATTTCTATGACATTCCCCATCTAATCTAAATGCCCAAGAATTCCTAGGCGGAAGAATTCCCTAGACCCAAATCCTCCCTCAGGTGCAAAGAATTTCCTCTGAAGACCCCCTGGGCTTTCCCGGTTCCTGGCTCACCCACATGGTGGAGGAGAGTGCATTCACCTGCCCCCCATTCCCTGGGGGCCGGCAGGAGGGGCAGGGAGCTGTGGGTGGCAGCTCGGCCAGCAAGGGACGCAGCTGACACCTGGGAACGCGCCTGGAACTTGGGAAGCACTCAGAGCATTGGCTTCTCAGAACCCAGGTTGGTGATGCGGCACGGCCCCCGGGCCGCCCAGCCCCGGCCCCGCCACCAGGCCTGTCCTCTCTCTGGAGTCTCTCGAGAAGGAAGGAAACCCGAGTTTGCAGAGGACATTCAGGGAGGGTCAGCAGTCCAACCCGGTGCCACGACAGGGACTCAGACCTGCTCTTCCCCAATACCTGCCCCGACGTGTGGCAACGTGGAAGTCTCTACACCAAGCTCTCACCCACAAGTCTACAACGTCCCCTCCGCTAGGCCTGCAACCTCCTCGGCCTCAGTTCGCCCAGCTGTAAAGTGGGGAGGCGGGCTCTGGCCCAGAGGCTCCGGCTTTCCCGGAGTAGCTGCCGCGGGCAGCCAGTGCCCGACGACCGGTGCTGCACAGCGTCCCGGATACGAGGAAGGCAAAGGGGCAGGTGTGTAGGGGCTGAGCAGAGACCAGCCTCCTCCCCAGATGTTTCGTACACATGCCCACTGCACTCAGAGACCCTGCTGCCCCTTGGCCAAGCACCACCAAGGGGCACCGAGCCGTGCCGGGAGCACACGGACGCTCACTGAGCCTCCCCCCAGGGGCTTCTGAAGTAAGAAGCACTGTGAGCATGAGAGCTGGACGCAGGGGCTGGGTTTTGCCGTGAACCCGCCATCGGAGAGCGTCGGATCCCCAGACCAAACGGGGACTTATCTGACAACTCTTTGCGACAACGCCCGAAGCGGCGACCGAACCCACCACGGCAGAGGCACAGGGATCTCCACAGAACGCTGATTCTTTCGGGGGTCAACCTGTGATTCATTTCCTTCCCCTCTTCTACTACGTGATCCCTGGGATGTAATATTAACCGGCTGCCTTGACTTGCAATAAACTGGTGCTTCTGAGCCCAGGGCTGTTTGCAAACAGTGGGTGGACACAAACGGCTTCATCCGAGAGCCCTGAGGGCTTTCTCCCTCCCAGACCCCAGGGGCATGCAATCTGAAGGCCCAGGGGAAGCAGAGGCTGACAAGAAAAAGAGGGATTGCTGTGTTGGGAAAGAATTTAAAATATTAGCTAGAGGGATACACTCGATGCGGCATCAGGAAATGGCCAGAGAGCTCCCCGCCGCCCGCCCCGCCCTGCTGGGTCTCCTCCAGTCTCGGGAAGCAGTATGTGCGGGAGGCGCCCCACTGGGAGGGTGTGCCTAGACCCTGCCCTATGGTCTGCCAGGGCTCCAGGGGCCCTCAGGAAGGGGCTGTGGTCACCAGCCGGGACTTCTGTTCCCACGTGGACAGCTGGAGATTGAGGCCAGCAAGACTGTCCTGAGGCATTCTCCTAATCTCACGTATCAGCTCCTCAGTCCTAACTCAGGGGCAGTCTTTCTCCCAGGCCTGGAGCAGTGAAGGTTCACCCCGAAGGCCCGACGCAGCCGTCCTCAGAAACTGCCTGTAAGGCTGGCCCCGGGTTGCAGCGGGGAACGTGGCCAGCAGCAGGATTCCCAACATCCACACTCGATCGATCGGCAGGATCTCCCTGCGCCCAAACAGTTCAGGATAAGTAGGGTGTGAGCAGGTTATGGGGTGGGAGTGAGGTTCCAGGAGCTACTACTGTCTTCTAGGACCATGTGGCCTGGGCTGTCCTTACCGCCTTCTTCAGCTCTGCTTCTTCAAATACTTGGGGAAAATAGCCCCATATGCATAACGCTGGCACAGAAGGGGGAATTTCTGTGTTTAATCAGAAAATAAAAAATAAAACAGATGCCCAGAGCCTCGCAAAACAAGCCTTTTTTTTTTCTTTTTTTAGAAAGTCACTTATTAATAAATAGTGAGAGTTTCTCACACAGAACAAAATATTCCAACTCTATTGATATAAAAAAATTGGTGTTTGGATCAGGAAGAAATCATTGAAACAGATGCAAAGAAAGACGAACATGAAGTTATAAGGGAAGACCTATGTTTTACTACAAAACAGAGAAACTAATTCTGTTCTTTGACTTTCAGACTCTCATTCAGATTCAACCAGTAATCGTTGGAAACACACTACGGTACATGCCTGCTATCTGCGGAGTTATGTCTTATACGGTCAACACAAGTGCGGATTTAAGGAACACCGAACCAGGGCTCCTGGGGAAGCAGAGGGCTGGGCTCTGCCCAGACTCTGGTCCCATTTTCCCAGCCAGTCAGTGTACGTGACACCTTGTTTCATGTGTGCTTCCGTTTAAAGACACCTCATTGATAGACTTATTGCTTCTTTAACATTGAATTCACCGCCTACCATGCTGTAATTTATGCCTGAACTGAGCTTT